ATGATCGGTAAGTCCGTGGTGAACAATCACCAAGCGAAATATTACAGAGAGGAAGAGGACCCAGGACTGAGATTGTGGGACACCCAGTGTCAGTGCACACGACCTGGAAAAAGAGCCAAAAGAGGAGACTAAACAGGAGTGGTCAGACAGGTGGGAGGAGAACCAGGGTGGAGTAGGGATGGAAACCTAGAGAGAAGAGAGGATCAAAGAGAAAGGGATAGTTAATCATGGCAAGGGCTACAAAGAGGCCAAGAAGGATACGGATTTAGAAAAAGGCATTCGATCTGGCAACTGAAGAGAACCAATAACTTTGGAAAGAGCAGTTTTACTCGAGGTTGAAAGACTGCAGAGAACTAATAAGAAAGTAATCAGAAAGGAAAGGAGGTGGGGCACCATTGTAGATGGCCTTCTCTAGGAGGAGAGATGTAGGATAGAGCTAGCTGAGACAGAGGGATCAGTGGAGGAGTTTTTTAAGGAATTGGATTGGAATTTTCACTGGTATATGGTGGTATGAAAAGGCAGCCATGGAATAGTAGGTAGCTTGCCTCAGAGTCAGAAAGATGTGGGTTCAAACCCCACCTTTGACCCATTCTGGCTGTGTGATTGGTTAAGCCCCTTAACCTCTCAACGTACTTGGCAACTCTGTAAGATTATCTATTGCTGAGCAAGTGCTCGATTTGCACCTAGGGGAGTGCCTGGCCATTTCTCTACACAGATGAAATCATAGACCTGGTTCTCACCCCTGCATCTCCCTTCCCCCCAAATAGGAGTTTAACTGAAGTGCTAGTAATTCATACTAGAGTGTGAAAATCCACTTGGTGGAGGACAGTTTTCCAAGGCAGTGGACTGTTTCTCACTCTGTCCTCCACAGAACCTTCCCAGCTTCTTCTTGTGAGCTGAGAAAACACAGCTTAGTCCCTCAGACTGGAACAAAGCAACCTTCTCAGTCTGCTGTGTGTTTTTTTCTACAACAAACCTGTTCATTCTGATTGTATTCGGTATTCCTTTGCACCCTGACTAGACTGAATTGCTTGGATTTATACAGAGATACCTGCTACCTAAATTAATCACCAACACTGAGATGGGAAAGGAGGCTGAGCCGCAGCAGTGTTCAGCTGACTTAAAATTGGACGGTGCTGCAAGCCTCCCTTAGGGCGTTCCCAGTCACTTCCCAAGGCTGACTCGTAATACTGGGGCCACCTGAGTGTAACTCAGTTCAAGTCGATGAACGTGTGCTAGGTGCCTGTTGGAAGCATGGACACTGCCTCTCTTGGACATTTCACAAATTCGCTTAATCCCCCAATTAGTTCCTAATTAGGAAAGTTTCACCGTATTTGCTTTTCATGCTTTTACTGAGTTAGGGAGATACGTAAACTCTTGGTGAGCCACGGGGAGAATTAAAAACAAGGGAAATAGTAGTGTTAACAAATGACTTTCTGGCCCACTCTTTTTCATCAGCTTGATTGAAAACATCACATCGGCAGATAACAGGGTCTGCTTTCTTACTCCTTTTTTCTTTCCCCCTTGTCTTCTCTTCTCTTCCCTTTTTCCCCTGTCATCCAAATGGGTAGAGTAGGGAGAGGGTGAAGCAGCAAGAATCGTTTCTTCTCTTCCCTAAGTCAACTTTGACCCCTTTTTGGTCCCTTCCTGTTTTCATTATCCTCCTGGTATGTAGCACGCCGGACAGGGATTTATGAGCCTTGGGTTCTCGTAGCAGCACCGACACTTCCTGGCTGTGTAACAGGACAAGTCAGCACATCTCAGAGCTTCAGTTTCATCATCCTAATACCCACACCACCTTCTTCCCAGGAACGTTGTCCTTAGCAAAGAAGCAACTCGTGCCAAATCTCAAACTCACAAAGATGGAGTCTGTCCCATCACTATGAGGGGAAAGTGTTTGTCATCTGGAATACACTCTTTTGTGTTCTCCTTGCTAAAGGTGGGTTTTGTCTCCCATGGAACTTTTCCTTCTAACTTTGTTTTCACTTCCTCCCCTCCACCCTTTTAGTCATATTTGGGAGGTTTTGGCAGCTGGGTGGGGTGTTAGGTCAGCATTTCTGACTGTGGCAGAAAGAAAAGGCCAGAGTCCTGACGTGAGACTGGTTGTCACTTTTTCCTTCCCATTTTAAGTAAGCAGCTAGTGTATTCCATTACAAAATGTTCGTGAGGCCTTCGCCTTGTAAATTTCATCTGAGAGACCTGGAGATAGAGAAGAACATCTGGGCAAAACATGTGGTTTTGTTGCTCACTGGAAGTCTCGTTAAAAACCTGTGTACTGCAAGAAGGATGAAACAGCTTATTGGCTCGCCTCTCACCGCTGCCACCTCTTCCTTTGTGAAGTGACAGATTTTATAGGTAGAGACAATGGCCTCAGGTAGCAGTACTGTTTGAGAAGAAACGTGGCAGCCCAGTTCCCCATCCTCCTCTGTTATTAGTAGACTCTCCTTGGTTGCGTTTAAGGGATATCCTCCGTATGGTATTCAGCAGACCACCAGCTCCCTGAGCTGCTTTGGGACCGCGGAGCTCCAGCCATTTGTACCAGCCCGTTTACTGCCAAGACTTAGACTGAAGGCTGGTTCAAGGCTCTTTGTTTCTGATCTGGATGAAGGAGTGGGATGGGAGAAAACAAATGATCAGATCGTCAGCATCTCTGTAGCAGCAGAGAAACATAAAACCGATAGCAGATCGTAAAAGGCTGCCGTGGTCTGACGAAGTCTGCCTCCTTGAAGAGTTTCCTCAACAGTCTTATTAGTAGAAAATGTTTGGCTTGCCAGGCTTTGGTCCTGAAAATTGTCGTAGTGCAGAGAGCATTTCAAAGGCTAAGGCTTTTTCCAGTTTATAGAGAAGGCTTCAGACGCCTCCAAGCCTTGAGCACTCATTGTCAACGTTTGCTTTGAGAGGTGAGGGGATGTCTTCGGAGATCGGTGAGCTTTTCTTCTAAAACCCCTCCGACTCATGCGGGTGAGCTGATGGGAGCCCATCACAGGGATGCCTGTGGGACATCTCCTTTCTCTGCTTTTACTTTGGCAAGAGGCGCCCCTGCTTCTTCTGGGGCTTCTGGCTCCAGCTGGAAAGGCTTCAAAGGCTCGAGTCAAGATGCAGCAAAATCCTTTTGCAGAGGTCTCCAAGACCAAAGGTGTGATATTTGGGCAGATCTGTACCTGACAGGGCCTTTTTATCTTGGGGATTCTGCAAGTTTTGAAACACAGTCTCCAAAGGTAATTAGCCTCTGAAAGGAGACACCCTGGCCTGCTCATTCTCCAGTCTGGGGCCTGCAGCACTTCTAGGCTTAGGCTGCAGCTCCCCCTGGTGGTTGGAGAAGGTGCCTGCTTGGCGTACCTTGCCTGCCATGGGATGGCAGTGAGGAGCCCCTCCCTCCGGCGGCCCGCTTGGACTTGAGCATATTGTCAGAGACCAGTATTCAATTGTATTGATGAATTTCTTTTGCAGCCATACTGACAAAAGCCGGTGGTGTTCCTAGTGAATCCCAGTTGGCAGTCCTATCGATAGCATGATAGCTGCTAATCGACCTTACAATCCTCTTTTTGACTGAACTAATTTACTTACACACGTTTGTCTTTGGCACACTTTTATGCCAGCCTAGCATGGAAAGAAGGTGATTTGGTCAGGTTTTGCTTTGCTTTGCTTTTTTAAGCTCTCATGCTTCTTAGGTACTCATCAGCCGTCAGAGATCAGTTTAAGTTTGGTTAATGAAACTCAGTATAGGGAGAACAGTGCTAGGCTTGGAGTCAGGAAGCCCCTTGTCCACACACTGGCTCTGGCACTGTTGTGGCCATGAGGCGATCTCAAGGGAGGTGAAGAAAACACTTTGTAACTCGTCTTTTACAGAAAGCCTCCTCACAACTCAGCCCTGTTAATTATTTCCTGTTTATCATCTACGTATACATATATATAGTACATATTTGTTTACTGTCTCCCCCATTAGACTCTAAGCTCCTTAAAGGTAGGAACTTTTGCCTCTTTTTGTATCTCCAGCACTTAGGACACTGCCTAGCTTATAGTAGGTGCTTAATAAATGTTGATTGATTAATTAAAAGTACTGTGTAAATAAATGGGAATTGTTATACCACAACACATATATTTTTATAATAAGTTCTTGAGGGGAAGTGACATTATCTGCTCCTGCTTTTCTGCATCATTCCACTTCACATAGTGCTAGATATATGGTAGGTGCCTAATGAGCATTTGCCAATTGTCTGATTAACGTAGTACCAAGTGATGAGTGATTTGTATCCAGTACAAAGTGGTGATTTTTTTTTCTGTGTTAACTCCCTGACACCAAGCCAAGAATAAATCGACAAGACTTTAGCCATGCCACTGGGGTTTTGCTTGTTAAAGCTCATTCACCTTCCAATCTGAACATTCATAAAAGGAAAGGGCTTTACAAGTGCTATTTACCGGTACTTTACTGTCTAAGCTTTGGCTAAATAAGATCCACTTTTCCTGGTTTGCACCAACAGGAGCTTTGCTAAATAGCTGCCCTCCGGTCCCTTCCCTAAAGCAGCAGTCGGCAGTATTTCTGAACCTGGGGCCTGGCATTGCACTTTTATGGCAGCGGTATTGACTTCCCAGCCCTTATATTAGCTAGACACCAAGCTGCCCACTTGTGTGATATATAAAGCCCAGGGGTGGGGGTGGCGGGGAGCCTGTAGAAGCTGTATGTGCCAGCGACAGAAGGAGCACGCGTTACCCAGTATCTGTTGGAAAATTCAATGTCAAGCCAGTGTATGAGGGAAGTGGTACAGTGAGAAAATACGCAGAATTACGGGATGCTCTGCCCTTCAGAGATGCTCTCCCTTGTGTGACAGGGAGGAAATGACCGCAGAAGCTTAAGAAGAGGCCATCTCTCTTCTTTTAATCCCATCATAAAAATGTTCAAAGTTCAATAGTTGGGCCACGTATCCCGATAAGCCTTCTTCTGTCTTTGCCATTCTAATCCTTCTTTCCTTTCTTTTCCTTTCCTTCCCCTTCCCTTCCAGACAGACGACTACTTCGAAGAGCTGCTGTGATCCATGGGGAGAGTGAGAACTAGCCGATGAAGACCTTGCCACGCGCTGAGAGCGGAGCAGCAAGCGCGAAGCTCCGTGGAAAATGTCTGCTTGCAACGCCTTCACTGAGCACGTCTGGAAGCCTGGTGAGTGCAAGAACTGCTTCAAGCCCAAGAGCCTGCACCAGCTGCCCCCGGCCCCAGAGGCGGCCCCCCTGCCCCACAGCGCCACCAGGACCAACGCCAACCACAGCAACAACCACCGAGTCCGGAGCACGGGGAGCTTCCGGCCCCCAGTGGCCAAAAAGCCCACCATCGCCGTGAAACCCACCATGATGGTGGCCGGCGGGCAGAGCGTGAGCGCCGAGGCCGGCCCCCCCGAGCACTGTGAGAGCAAGCCGGTGGTCATCAGCTGGACCCGAAACAGGGCTTCCCTGAACAAGAAACCACTGAATAATAATAACAATAATGAAGAAGAGATTGAAGGATTTAGCCACGTCCATAGGCCTTTGGGCACCAATGACAATGGGAGTAAGATAGCCAATAACAATAATGGACTAACTGAAGTGCTGAAGGAGATTGTGGGCTTGGATCCCACTCCTCAGCGAATGGGAAATGAAATTAACTCAAGGGAAACCTTCTTGGGAAGAATCAATAACTGCTACAAGCGGTCGTTGGAAAGGAAGCTTCCTCCCAGCTGCATGATGGGAGGGATGAAGGACTCTCAGAGCAAGCACGTTATTCTGAGTGGTAGCACAGAGGTGATCAGTAATGAAGGTGGTCGGTTTTGTTACCCAGAGTTTTCTAGTGAAGATGAGAGTGAGGATGATGCGTTTTTTAGCAGTATGCATGAAGAACATGAGAGCTGGGATGAAAGTGATGAAGAATTGTTGGCCATGGAAATTCGTATGAGAGGGCAGCCCCGCTTTGCTAACTTCAGGGCGAACACTCTCTCCCCTGTTCGATTCTTTGTGGGCAAAAAATGGAACACTGTCCCCATGAGAAATAAATCTCTCCAGAGGATCTGTGCAGTGGACTATGACGATAGCTACGATGAAATCTTAAATGGTTATGGGGAGGACTCCGTAATCCCTTATGGGCAGGACAGCACACCGAGCGTGGTCTCCTCTGATTCCACGACCCCCGAATCGTCCTTGACGGAGGAGTCTCGCTCAGGGACAGCCAGTAGCTCATCTCAAAAACTCTGCAATGGAGGGACGTCGCCTGGTAGCCCTAAGGATGTTAAGGAGGTCCAGTCAATTGAACCAGATTATGGAAACTCTGATAATCAGCAAATGAAGGACAGTACCAGTGCTCCAAAAAGCCCCACCCAAGTATTAGAGACCCACAAGGCAGTGCTTGCTCTCCGATTAGAAGAGAAAAATGGCAAGATTGCTCTTCAGACTGAGAAGCAAGAAGGAAACAGTTCCACAGATCTGACTGGGCAAGCGGTGACTATAAACTTGGTGCCTCTGGAAGAACAGGCCAGGCCTTACCGAGTCGTGAATCTGGAACAGCCAGTGTGCAAGCCCTACACGATCGTCGACGTGTCGGCAGCCATGACCGGCGAGCACTTGGACGGTCAGACTGAGAGTCCCAAAATCAAAAGCACCTTGTCCACTCCAAATTCCCCACTTGTGTCTCCCACCTCCACTTCAGCACAGGGAAATGCTCATTTCAAAAAAGCCAGTACCATCCGATACCAGGAAGTCTGGACGTCCAGTACAAGCCCACGCCAGAAGATACCTAAAGTGGAACTAGTCACTGGTGGCACAGGACCAACTGTCCCTCCAAGGAAAAACTCCCCTAAGTCAGCCCCTACTTCACCCACAGCCACAAGTATTTCTTCCAAAACGATCCCGGTTAAGTCACCCAATTTGTCTGAAATCAAATTCAATAGTTACAACAATGCTGGCATGCCTCCTTTTCCAATTATCATTCATGATGAGCCAACTTATGCTCGTAGTTCCAAGAACGCTATCAAAGTTCCCATTGTGATCAATCCTAATGCATATGACAATTTAGCCATCTATAAAAGTTTTCTGGGAACCAGTGGAGAGCTGTCAATGAAAGATAAAACCACAAGCATAATAAGCCATACTTATGAAGAAATAGAAACAGAGTGCAAAGTAGCAGAGAGTCCCACCAGCAAACCTGCCGATGCTTCTCTAGGGAAGGGGCGGTCTAACAGCACAGAGCACAGGAAGGGCTCTGTGGCCCAGAAGGTCCAGGAGTTTAACAGCTGCCTCAGTAGGGGCCAGCCCTCCCCTCAGAGAAGGCAGAGCTCTGCCCATGGCTCCCCAGCACGACCCCAAAGAACCACCCAGGAGCCTGTAGCCAAGATCGAAGGCGCTCTGGAGTCGCCAGCGTTGGGCGGCGGCGGCGGCAGCCGGGAAAAGGCGAGCACCGTGCTCTCACAGATCGTCGCTTCTATCCAGCCTCCACAGTCTCCCCCAGAAACTCCTCCCCTGGACCCTGAAGCCTGCAGTGCAGAGGAACTGTATGCCCTCCCTCCAGGGGACGATACCCCAGCAAGTCCTCCCATAAGGCCAAAATCTCTCTTTGCTACTGCCCAGCCCAGCCACGAGAATGAAGCCGCCCCAGCCGCAGAAAGCGCCAGTGCTCCCATGCACAAGGAGCCACTTTCTAAGCCCACCACTTGTCACTCCTCCAAATACACAGCTGGCACTCCTACCCCGAGTCCCCAGACGGAACCAGGTCCCCCTTTTCCCCCTCCGCGCTCCACTTCCTCTCCGTACCACGCAAGTAACCTTTTGCAAAGACACTTCAGCCACTGGAGCAAGCCGACCAGCCCCACCAGGTCAACAGAGGCTGAGTCCGTCCTGAGCTCGGAGGGCAGACGGGCAGCCGATGCCAAGCCTAAGCGCTGGATATCGTTTAAGAGCTTCTTCCGCCGTAAGAAGACTGATGAGGAGGAAGACAAAGAGAAAGAGAGAGAGAAGGGCAAGCTGGTGGGCCTCGATGGCACGGTCATCCACATGCTTCCCCCCCCTCCCGTTCAGCGTCATCACTGGTTCACTGAGTCGAGAACCGATTCCAGTGAAAAGCCATCGATTGTTTTCATGTACAGGTGTGACTCTGCCCAGACAGAGCTGAACATCGACTCAGACAAGCCAGGGGTGGAGCGAGTAGTGATTTCGGATAAAAGTGAAATAGAAGAAAAGGTCCTACAGGATGCAGAAAAGAAGAAAAGGAATCATTCTTCTCCATCTCATATTCCCAAGAAAATTCTCAGGTAATCTGGATTAGAACCATCTGCTTTCTTGAGTGTAGAAAGCAAAGTTGACTGCCGAAGTGGGGGAGCCTAAATGCCGTGATTGGTATGCATCTTGTAGGTTTTCTCAGCAGCTGTTTATGAGTGTTAAGTTGCATGCTATGACCAACGTCTATCTTTAGAACTGCACTCCCAGAGTAGCATATTATTAGAAAGATCTGAATATCTGAGCAAAGGGGGAAGGCTCTGCCTCTGGCTAACATGGGTCCGCCCTGCCCTGCTGCATCCTGGGGAAAATAAAGCAGGTTCATTGGAGAACAGGCAACCACGTAAGAAGTTAGCATTAAGTAATGTGTTATTGGCAGGGAGGAAGAAACAGGAGCAGATTAATGAATGGCAAGGCTGTTCTTCCCCACTTTGGTAGTTAGACGAGCTCTTTGAGATAGCGCCTCTGGTTTTCCCAAACACGTTCATCTCTATCTGGCTGCCTTCCACTTAATGGCGATGGTTGTTGCCTGATTGCTATCCTCATCCGCTGAGATGCAGCATTCTGTCAGTCCTCCCAGTGTGGTTGGGAAAGAAAAGAAAAGAAAAACCAACCAACTCTGCTGCCGAGAGATGAAGGGAAAAAAAGAGAAGAAGAAAAGAAGGGATTGGGGCCCAGTGGGAGAACTGGGGCATGAGTGTAGCTGATTTTTTTCCCCGTGTGAATTCTTGCTGTTGTTTTCCTTTCTAAGAGATAACAATATTGACTATAACAGAGTGTGACATCTTAGTCAGACCAGCTCTTTCTTCAGCGAATGCAAGATGAGGCTTAACACTTGAGTATTTCAGGGGGAATGTGTTCTTTTGGTGCAGTAGTCCATCTACAAATGCAGATTGCACCCCCTCTGTACCTTTTCATCCTGCACAGTTCTTGTTCATATCTTTCTTTCAATCCTTCATCAAGAATCTGACTCATACGCTGCAGGTCTTTCTCTGGTTTCTAGGTTAAGAAGCATAGAAGTATTTTCATTTGTAGGGATATCATTGTTTGTGGTGAGGACACCTAAGCATATCCCTCTGAATTTTCTGCTCTTATGACATAGATATAATAATGCGTATGTGAACAGGGTTGGGGCAGGGATGGCCCAGCCCTCCACGTGCCCCATCCTGCCCTCTTGTTCCCCCCACAGCCAGCACTGCTGCTATTCAGTATTTTTTTTTCTTGGTGAGGCAGTCAGGGTTAAGTGACTTGCCCAGGGTCACACAGCTAGTAAGTGTTGTGTCTGAGGCCGGATTTAAACTCAGGTCCTCCTGACTTCAGGGCCTGTGCTCTATCCACTGCACCACCTAACTGCCCCTGCTATTCCGTTTTAACCAGCTCTCACACAGTCTGCTAGCCAGTGTAGATCAGACCAGACATCTGTGAGCTTCATGGTGCTCATCTCACTCCCCACTAAAAAAAAAAAAGGGCCCCAGAACTTCCAACTTTTTTAAAAGTGTCCATCATAAGCAGCAGAAGGCTTAGTGCCCTCAAACCTGTTTCACTGAGCATTTTTGTTCCCGATTGAGCACTGTCTGAGGGGCCCCAGAGCCATCAGCATGCAAGCAATTCCCAGGACTCCTCGAATCCATTCACCTTGAGAGCTGCCAAGGGGAGCAGCCTTTGGGGCGAGAGGCTGGGTGGGTCCCTGGTGCTTGGACTCAGCGGTATTGGCGTATGTATTGGTAGTAACATAGGATTGAGAACTATGATGGGCTTTGGAGCTCCTGTGGGTGGGCACCCCTCATTTACAGCTGAGGAAGCAGACCCCTCTGAGGTCACAGAATGCAGCGGCCAGGCCAGGATTTGAATCCAGGCCCTGTGACTCTAGATCCAGGTCCCATACTGTTCTTCTCCAGGATCAATGTGTTTCTCTTGGGAGAGTAGCAGTTGAAGCCGCATTAGTAAGCGTCACATGGGGCAGGACAGCAGATGGTTCATAGGGATCAATACATTGCTTTACTTCTTCATTAAGTTAGGTTGGGGTATATTTATCCACGCCCCACTCGACAGAGCTTGCCGTTAAATAAAGTCCACTCTTTTGTCCTTTATATGGGTTTTTTGGGGTAATTCCTTTTTTTGTGCCAAGGCCTATTAATTCTGCTTATTGAAATGCCACGTTGAGAAAATAATTCAGTACTTGTTGAGTCTGGCCTCATTTCTGTAATTGGGACTCTCTTTTGGCTGAATGATTGAGCGGGGAAACAGGAAGCAACCCGGAAAGCCGTGGGTTCCAATCCTAGCTCTGGGATTTATTAGTTGTGTGACCCCAGGCAGATGACTCATGTTTCCCTCTTTATCTGGGGATGGTGCTGGCACTCCTCTGCTGGGTGCTTTGTAGAATGCCACATCCAGGCAGCAATCCTGGCTATTGCCATGCGTGAACTGAGGGTGAAGCTGGCCCCACAGTGTCACACTGAGAAAGCCTCCTCCAGACCACAGTAACAGTGAGTACAGAGCCTTTTCTGGGCAGCCTGTGAGATGGAGAGCAAGGTTGTTACCTCCATTATACACGTGAGGAGACAAGCGAAGGCTGGGAGGTGACTGGCACCCCCCAGCGAGCAGCGCTTCAAGCTCTAGGGCTACTCTGCCATGGGAAGAGGAGCTGATTTTACAGAGAAAGAAACTGAGTCTCACAGACGTTCATAGTAAAAACTGACAGAGCTGGGATTCAAACCCAGCTTTTCTGACCGAAACCCCTTTGTTCTGAGCCAGCAGTGCTCAGTTATGTTCCCAGGTGAAAGCCAGGTGGGTCAGGACTGGCCTGTGAGGGCAGTCGGTAGTGCTGCCCACCTACATCATAGGAGCACTGAACTGTCTGCGGACAGTCCTAATAACTTATAGTAGTGACTTAAATCCCATGTTGGGAAGGCCCTTGCAGAGGGTCCCAAGGCCCAGCCACACCTAATAAAGAGGCCTTCTGCTTCTAATGACAGAAAGCTGCTCTCTTGAGAACACTCATTCCACTTTCATAAGGTTCAAATTGTTAATTACATTAGGCCCAAATATGCTTCTCTACATGTTGACTCCCTACTCCTAGTCTGGCCTCCTGGGGCCTCTTCCACATGCTAACTTTCCAGATGCCTGAAGACATCTCTCATGGTGCACATGCCCAAGGCCTTAAGTTGGTCCTCTTATGGGAGGATTTACAGACCTTTCCTGCCCCGTCCGTCCTCTTGGGATGCCAGCTAGCACATCCTTCCTAAGAGGCAGCACCCAGAACAAGATCCAGGGCAGGACTGGAAGCCTCTTCCTTTAAGATGCTTGGCCATGCCGTTGTGTGCCCAAGCACAGTTCTAGGTGAAGGGAGTACAAATACAAAGAAGAAACAATCCTGCCTTCCATTCTAAGGTATGAGATGAGAAATACATATAGAAGCAGGGACAGAATACACGGCAAGTGAATAAGTCCAAGTAATTACAAGGAGTGAAATGCAGTATTTGGGAAAGGAGGATGATAGCTGGTGGGGGAATTAAGGAAAGCTTTTTGAAGAAGGGGATGTTTAAACTCTATCTTTAAGGAAAAGAGGGGCTCTGTGGCCGAGGTCAGGAGGTAGGACAGTCCAGGCACAAGGGGAGGACCAGTACCGAGGCACTGAAGCCACAGCTAGATCACTGTGGGTGAGGAGCAGAGGGTAGGCCACATGTGCTGAGCTGCATTGGGAGAAGAAGGTCTTGTGGAACTGCTAAGATAAGTTGGGGTCACATTGTAAAAGTCTCACGAAGCTAAACAGAGGTGTTTGACCTTGGTCCCAGAGGCTGTAGGGAGCCAGCGGAGCTGATTGACTAAGGGAGTCATGGGGTCAGATCTGTGCTTCACAGCAGTCTGTGACAGCTGATATTAGCAGAGAATAAGTAAAACAGGCTAGCTTTCCTTTGCTCTACCTGCAGGAAGGTGGATGCTGCTTCAATGGGTACGCAAGTGGAACTCTCCACACTTGCATTTTCACTAATTATCCCATTTACTTCAATGTACACTTCATATTTGCTTGTAGCAACTTTGAGAAGACAAACATGACTGCCAAGTGCCAACATTTGTGTTTCCTGTTTGATGACAGTGTAATCATTAAATTATCATTCCACAGCTGGGAACACAGTCTTGAAAGAGATGAAAATCAGAGTTTTCCTGTAAGCAAATTAAAATGCCAAAGCTAGGCTGTAGATGCAGAGTCTAGTATGAAAAATAATGAATTGTTGCTATGGCAGAGTCGAAACCCCATCATTCAAGGAAGAGGCAGTCTGATGAAGCCTTCCGTTCCAGGTCACTGGGTCAAATTAGATTCAAGGACCTGTTGACTGAAAGCACTTCTGTCCAACTACTTTGTACCAATTTAAACAAGTTTAGTGGTTTTGAGAGAGACAAAGTGATAGACTGAGGGTCAAGAGACCAAGATTTGGGAACATAAGTAGGTCAATACAGTAAGCATTTGTTAAGTACTGACTTTGTCCCAGGCCCAGTACCAAGCACTGAGAATACGAAGAAAGGCAAAAGACAGTCCCTCTCCTTGAGGAACTCCTAGTCGAAGGGAGAGACCACGTCCCAACAAGTATGGACAAACAAGCTGTATATGAGATAAATGGAAAATAATCAGTAGAGGGAAGGCACTGAACTTCAGGGCTTCCTGTGGAGGATGAGGTTTTAGTTGAGGGAGGGCAGTAGTCGGAGCAGAGATGGCATCCCAGGCATAGAGGGACAGCTAGGAGATGGAGTGTCCTGTTTAAGGAACAATAGCCAGGGTCACTGGATCAAAGAGGACATGAGGAGAGGGGTGTACTATGTAAGAAGACTATAAAAATAGGGAGGGATAGAACTAGATTATAAAGGACTTTGAATGGCAAACAGGATTTTATAGTTGATCCTGGAGGTAATAGTTGACTGAGGTGGGGGAAGCGAGGAGTGATGTGGTCGGACCCGTGCTTTGATAGGGGAGGGACTTGTGGCAGGCAGACAAACTGACAGGCTAATGTGTGTGTGAGGTAATGAGGCAATATCAGAG